ATGGGGTGAGATGGGAAAAAGGGTTTGAGGGCTGGTGTAGGAAATCCAGTTAAAGAACAGAAGCAGCAAAATTTCTGATGGCTTAAGTCATATTTCACCTATATTGGGGGGGGAAAAAAAAAAAAAAGATGCTTTGGTAGAACTCTACCAGTGCCTCTGCACCCTGAGTTTGTGTTATTTGCTGTTCTGAAATTAGCACTCTGAAGTTTAATTGTCTTACAAAACCTCTCTGGCCACACCTTAAACAGCAGCTACACTGAGGTCTGGTCTGCTCCAGCTAAATTTATTTTAACTGCTGGAACATCCTTTCTCCTTGTCTGATTATACATCGGGGTTTTTTATTATGGACGGATAACAAATCTGATTTTACCATATCAAATGGAACATAATATTCTTTTTTAGAATCTGTCCTCCAGATATCTGACATGAAGGATCAATATTCTTTGTTTTCCTGATGATTCAATTGCTACATAATGTATGAGTCACTGAAGATGTTCTATTAAGCTTTTATTAAGTGCCCCAAGGCCAAGCATATAGATCAGATCTTTGGAGGTTTTGGTAACTGTGTTCATGATACAAATATAGTTTAATAAAGCTTATTTTAATTGATATATTTTCTCTGTAGTTATTCCCTCCAGTCATAGGCAGTTCCCTCTCAGATAGGGTCACACACTGGTATTAAAATAAAGCATTTTACCCACTACATAAATTAATTAGTAGCAACAAAGGCTACAGCCTAGCTGGAGTAAATGGCATTAGGTATAATTAAGAGTAAACAAAGCTTGTCCCTAAATTCTACAAGGCTATGTACAGTTGGATTACAGCAATTCTATTGGACAGTAACCTATTTGCCTAGTAATTGTGACTCATACAAGCACTATAACTACACTGATTAATTTTGCTTACAGACACTGTGGTAGCTTAATTAAATGATCCATTGCAAATAATGGCAGTCTTTTACAAGTAGCCCTGCAGGAACCGAACTGTTGCCTCAAAAGGCATGACCCAAACAGAAAATAATGAAGGTGAATCATAAAAAATCCTTTTGAAAACCCTTTTGAAAAGAGAGAGAATGAAAAAAACTCCACATTTTAATTTTTAAAATGCCATACTATTAAGTATTTGACTGTGTTTTTTACTGATATAATGTCCTATTCAGTAAAACAACTACTGAAACATAAAATTCAAATAGAATATGCCTGATATTCCATGGTAAAGCACCAAAAAATGTAGTAATGCAATATCTTGCTAAATAACTCAGCTTGCAGTTAGTATATTCATAAATGTAGAAGCATTAAACAAGTTACCCAAACACATCCTTATGTACCTCCTTTGCACGGTGACTGTAAACTATAATATAAATATAAATATATAAATATATAAATATAAATAATATAAATATAATATAAACTCCTGCCTATGAACTGTACTACATCTTCTTTCTCTAACATTTGGCCCTTCAGAACTCAGAGACTCTTGCTTTGCAAATAGGATTTGAATTGTACTTTAATTCACCAAAATCACAGATAAATACCTTGTTAACTCAGTTGAAAGTGATTTAGTATAATATGAAATAGATAAATCAGTATTGTCAAACAGAAATGTATACTGGTAGAGAGTGTTCGTCAGAAGAAAGAAAGGAAAAAGGAAAAATTCTGATACCTCAATTGGGACTATCATTGTAAAAAAAGTCAGAAGAAGGATCAGATTTTAGTAAATTCTTCTTTAGTGCCAAAATTTGTTTTAAGAAGAAGTAAAATCAGAAAGAAAATCAGCAGCTCTTTAGATGATGATGAATCCAAGTGAATGAATTAGTGGTCAATAATGGAACCGTGTCTTCTGCAGAACATACATGAGAGATGCCAAATGGGTTTCTTTCTCTGATTTCTGTAGTCTTTAGGGGTGGTAACAATGAAAGTACAAAGGACACTATTTAAAATACTTCAATGGGTTGTTGGGAATTAGGTTCTGTTACTCTCACATCCCTTGATCATCATGAAAGGTATTTTCCAGAAGACTTTTCAAGTCATGACAGGACAGGACCAGGCCTGCTGAGGGTTACTGAAGTCTCATACAGTCCCAAACAGATCCTTCAAGATCCTGCTTTGGGCTTATTTCTCTGTCGATGACTGTGACATAATTATGAGGTAGACCCAATGTAGAGGCAAGGACATGCACTTTATGTGATCCAGCCTTCATCCATCTATAGCTTGATTATCATGATTTATGTTGGTTAAGTAAATTTCACCTTTATACAAAACAATTTTTTTTTCAACTTGAATACAAACACCTGCTCTAATTTGTACTCATCTGGTTAAACATGGAAAATATCTTTTAAAGTTTGGTGCCTTCCACTTGCAGCTGATGAGTATCACCGAATTGCTGTCAAAAGGCAGACCATCCTAAGCTACAGTCCTGTACAAAAGTCTTGAGCTCTTGATGTACCAGAACTTTTAAAAACACTGACTGGACTGTCCTTTTAAAAATCTCAGGTTTAAAGGAAAGTCTAATTAAGGTCTAATAAAGAAAGATCTAATTAAGGTATTCCAATTCTATTTATTGTTTGAAAATTGCCGAATATAGGAGCTGATACTGGAGACAGCAGTATGGCAAATGAAGATGGAACCTTTAAAATCTGAAAAGGTATTCTTCCAATAGCTGAGATATTATCAATGCCTCTGTGTGCAAACCTAATATGATTCCATGAGAGCTAAGCCAGATTTATTCAAGCAATTTTTAACCAGACTTTCCTCCATTGCAAGATATTTAGCTTCAACAAATAGGGAAAATACCGAGTATAGGAAGCAGCAGAACTTTACATACATAACTAACTGTGTAGGTGGAAATGGATTTGTATTTCAAGTGTTCAAGTGTTTTTATGTTTAGTGGTTTTTTTCCCCCAACAGGCTACAACAGTTGTGTCTATTCCAATTTCCTATCTGAAGTCTCTATTTGACACTTAGCTGATTTCTTGTTTTCCTCCTCCTTCAGATTATTAGCTACTCAGTGAAGTGTCATAAAATACCTGTTTCACCCTAGCTCTCCCCTTTTCTCTTTTAATTTCATTAATACATAACTAATTTGGACTTAGAAATTTTCTACACTTTCCCTTAGAATTTTCAGAAAATGTATGAGAGTGATTAACTCCTAGTCTGAACTCATATGAGTAGTAAGAACCACAATAGCATCTAATTTCTGCCTGAGACAAACCACCATGTCATCTCATTTCCACCTGTGATAGCCTTCAGAGAAAAAAATGGAGGTGTATATCCAGAGAGAGAGAGGAAATTACATCAAGAAACAGATACTTAAAGTGGTATTTGCTGTTATGGCAACTGACATTTCAGGGCGATGTAGAAAATAAGGAACAGGAAACAAGGTCCACTTATTATATTAAGAAGATACTTTTGGAAATATATAGATATTCAATTTTCTGTATCCAATCACATTATTATGTTAAAATAAGTGTAAGAATCAGGGAACAGGTACTAGAAAGCCTTGTATAACATTACTTGTAACATGAACTTCCACAAAGGTCACGTTGTATCCTCTGGAAAAAAAAAAGGAATATCAGAATGAACATTTCTGTAAGAACATTATAAATAATAGACACTAAACAACTACTACTGCAACTCTTTTCTTGTTTTCTCTAGTTACAAAAGTAATACAGATCATATAAACTTCTGTGACAACAGTTTTGAATTTTGTGATGCCAGTTCTTTGATCTTATGTTAGACAAAATATATATTATGTAGTCTCAGCCTGAATTCAGTGTTAGCAGAGTACAATGAGGATATTCTATCTGAAACATCAGCACCTTCACACATCTAAAACTAAGTGAAGTTATTCCTGTTAGTCAAAGATAATTCCTTTTATAGAGCAAACCTGCTAAGAAACATGCCTCTTGTTATATATTAATGTCACTCAAACACAGACACAATAAAGTAAACAGGCTTCTCACTTTTACCAGTTTTCTATCAGTTTTCTTATTTGGACTAACTGTTACTAATTCAATAAACTGGAGATAAGAACAAAATCAGTCATAATAGGATTAAGAAGTAATTCCTTATTTATGATTAAGGACTGGTAAGATTCCCTGAGTGCTCGGTCACACTCTTTCTGCACCCCCATCAGAGACCAATACAGGTACTGACTGGCAAAAGAGTTATAAGACCTAAAGCAAAGCCAGAAGGAAACATTTCTGACAGGACAAAAAAAACCCAAAAAACCAAACAAACAGAAAAAAAACAACACATCACCAAAAAAACCCAAAAGCGCTGTCCTAGATTTTATCTGAAAAATCATTTAATCTTTCCATTTTCATATGTAGAAGAAACAAATAATGTCCAAACATTTCTAATAATTCAGAAAGTATTTCCTAGTTGGGACAATGCTGGTGCACAATCCCTTTCAAATATCCCTCACCATCACATATGGCTATGGGTGTGGGCGACCCATCCTTTCTTAAACATGATTGGCCAAGGTCAGTGCAGGAAAACCAGAATCCAGCTCACGTCAGAGATGGGAGGAGCTTTAGTCTGAAAACCATATGCATGTTTTACTGCCCTGGAAATTGCAGAAGCACAATGTGGCCAAGCCATTCAGTGATTTAGACTACCAGACAAAACCTACCAAAAGTATATTCATAGCTAAAAAAACCTTTGTTACGTTTCTTGCATGTCAGGCAGAAGGGGAAAAAGGCAACACCTGTTTGCCAGCTTTGCCATAAGGGTAACACCTCATTTATGTCAGGCAGTTTGCTACTCAGTTGTCAGCAACAATTAGAGTATATGTGGGAATGAAATAGAGATTGTGTCACTTGAGAGACCTCAAACAACAAATTATTAACCCTTAAAAACTCTCATACAGGCCCAATCTCCTGTCCTCAGTTCCACATCTCTTATCCCTGACAGGACAGGGCTGATGAAACTGGTTTCACCACTTGGACTCAGAGGCAGCATAAGACATCTGCTATTTCTTACCTTGTAAAGTGGGGAGGAGAGAGAAAAAGCAGCAGGAAACACAATTACAGAAGGTAGTATGGAGGCACAAGATGAACACAGCAAAATAGAGTCTTATCTTGTTGCAACTGTTGAGGTGGATTGTTGAGATGACTGAGGGTCTTTTCTTCTCCCTTCTCACACCCCCAGGATCATCTGCTTCTGCTTGCACTGCAGAAAAAATAAACATTGGGTTAAGGACATACAAAAAACCAATAAATCACAAATTTCGTATGGGTTTGCAACATTTCTCTTGACACAGTTTAAAAGTCCGAGGGTAGTCCTGTTTACCTATCTTCAAATATAAGAGTACAAGATGAATAATTGCTACGAAGTCAGCAGACAACCTTCTGAGGAGCAGAGCTTTACCTTGCATCCCGTGTTTTAATTTTTAGAGTTTCTGCCAAAACAAACCAGTCTTTGTTTTCATTCCATTTGTTTCTTTGTTATTGGAAAGATTTACATTTACCTTTTCCATGGTGAAGGTCACAAAATGATGGATTAAGCATTAAAAATAACCAGAAAGCATAGCTGAAAGACAGAAAACCTATTGAAATAATGGATCTTTTTTGTGATGATGTTTGAAGATGAACACTTTATATTCATGATGAGTATTTCTTAAAAAGTAAATTGAAAGTCACATCATTACACACAAAAGAGAACATTTAAAAGAAATTTGTGGTACTCTGACTAAGGCACTAAATATTTATTATTCCAGGCAAAACCAATTTTAAATTTAAGTTTAATGTACTTGCTAATCTTAATCTCATATGTCATTAATGCAGTGTTTTCAAATGGAACGACTTTGAGAAAAGGGATACACTGTATGCAAAGATGTTGTCCAGTCCACAACACTAGATACCAGTCACATGGGGGTGTCACATGAAATTCTGTAGATGCAATGGCTCTAACTCCAGACTTGAAATATCTGGTCAAGCAGAGGTGCAGGAATATGTATTCTCACCTACAGGAGAAACTGCTGATCTACCAAACGGCCCACTTCTGTTTTGCAATGTCACTTTGTTCCAGTGTTGGAACTGTTTCTGTAGGCAGAGTGCTCCACAGGAGCTTTGCTTTCCATTCATCATTTCAAACACTTAGACCTCTCACTTTGAATGTAATAGTGGTTATCTGAAGAAAAAAAGAAAAAAAGAAACATATATATTTCATGGTATTTCTAAGTTAACTTGTGAAGAAGTCCTTATTCTCTTGATCATATTAGGCTTGACAAAGATCGGCATATTCAATCAGTAAGGTAGAAAAAATGAATCACATTTAGAGAAAAGGCAATAGGAAAGTAGCTTACATTTTGGGTCATTACTAAAAGGCTAGGAAGGATCTCATTTTTCAGAAGATTGGCAATCAGTCAATCTCCTTAAAAGCATCAGATTTTCAGTATGTGGAGTCAGGCACATCTGTATGTAACACAAGTGCCAAATCTCATTTGCCCCTTCCTATACACGCTGTATTGTGATTGTACTTTTTATGCTCTACTGGGTTGAACCAACCTTGTGCTGCAAGCATGGATGGGGACACAGGTATGATACAGTCAGGGACTTGAGCATGACAGATACACTTGAATGTCATGAATATCTCGTCCATGGCAGATATCATCAGTCAACAGCAGCCCCTCATCAAGAAAACCACTTTTCAGAGGCATTCTGAAAGATGCAAACTCTACATAACTTTTTCTGCATCTCCAGGAATTACATCCCCTCTTCTGTCAGGTTTGGCACTGAGACAGCTCAACTTTGTCATTCAACAGCATGCAATTATGCCGCAGGATCTCTACTTGCCATTCTCTCTCCCACATTGTCTCACTGTCTCCAGGGAACTCTGCAATATTTTCCAGCAAGAACATCATCATCTCCTTGCAGGAAAACATCAGCCTGACTCTCTTGCCGTCACTTCCCATATACTCAATCACAGAAACATGCAGCAGTTGTACAGTAAGTTGTGAAATAACAAATCCAACAGTTCTGTTGTTCGTGTTACACAGTTCCTTCTCTCTTTCACTGTCTGCTGACCATGCGTGTCTAGCAAATGATCGAAAGTAAACTTGAAAATATTTGAAACAATGGGTCTGGCTCTTTGAACATCACTTGTCATGATGAACTTTTAAATGAGGATGGTCACAATTTGGGAAATGCAACTGGGTCTTAATACACAGTAATTCTGTAAAATAAAGTTATACTGCAAAGATAGAGCTGAAGAAATGAAAATCTGTCCAGGTATACAAAGAAACTGTGGGTAAGCATTTTATTTAATTTACCACTGTCTTCTTCCTGTTGCAGTCAAGGTTTATAGTATTTCTGGTGTTCTTTACCAAGGTCATACAAGATACATCACAATGTCTTCAATATACACTTTCCTGTGTATATTATTTCTCAGGGTCAAATTTAGGTCAAGAGCCAAAGACGATCAAAACTGAACCAGGAATTCTATCACAGTAGTGACTGAGTCTAAAGTTAAACACATCTAGGTCTAGCACTGTATTTCTAATAAAGACACACAATTTTAATTTGCATTAACATGTTCATAATATTTAAAGTATAAGCAACTTCTGAAAAAATGTCAGAAAGCATGAAGTCTCAATTTAATGGTCATACCAAAGGAACGGGGAAAAGGGGAAGAGTGGTTAGAGACTTTTGTTCATTAATCATATCAAATTCACTTTTATTATTTTCCCATTTGCATTTAATACAGACCTGGAATGTTGACTGGGATTTTCAATCTGCATTTTCATTAAAGTATCAGTAACAATTCTGAAAAAGCAATCCTGAGGCAGATAGAAAGAAAAAAAAATTAAATACATGCCAAGTGTAGTTTCCAGATGCATGACAGATCTCATAGGTTGTGGATAAATAATCAACAAAATAGTATTTCAAATTCTCTAATTTTCAATAGGTCTATGTTTTTCTTGTTTCTGTCATTTCAATTATTAAATCTGACATTATTTTAATAATTTTACCTTTCCATAATCTTCTATGTTACTGAACAAGATGCCTTTGTCATCTCTATGGTCACTGATTTTGATTTCATATGCTAGGGAAAATAGGGTTTTTTCAGTTCATCTTGTCTGGAAAAGAAAAACTGCAAAATTTTTAACAATAAGAGTAAAAAATAATTAAATTTCCTTTAAAATAAACATTAATAAAAGTGAGATAGAAGTGAAAATAAAAGAACTCAATGATTTTTTCAAATTATAGGCAGTGACAAAGAGGGAAATGGAGGGAGTGTTACAAATACTAGGAGAGGAAATCTTTTAGAAATTAATATCCAAAATTATTCTCCTTTGTCATAATACACTATTCCTTCTGATTTCACTATCTGACCAAGCAGCAGCTTTGTGGTCTGGAGAGAAGTGCTTTTCAAGGAAAATATCACAAAATCCTCCATAGTAAGTGAAAGGTGAAAAAAATAGAAAATAATATTAATAATGATGTAAGTTAGTAACAGAAACTCTGGTATTCATCACTATATCTCCAGCTGATTAAGCAGCTCATTGATTGGATCTTTCTTCTGCATGTTGCTTCCCTTAAAATCCTGAAAGGTGATCCGTTCTTCTGCCTAGTTCAAAGATCAAATCTCTTATCCCTCCAGATAATGCATATAGAAGTTCTGCTTGGATATTTTAAGGCTCTCCTGAACAGATATTATGGGGAATCATCCTATATTTAAAAGTCCAAAAATCAGTAAAGATTTCTGGACCTAGAAGATGGGCTATAAAAGACTAAGTAACAAAATAAAGTTCAGTCCGCAAAATTGAAATTAGAATGAGGAAATTAAAGGATCAGTTGCAAAAACCACCCTGTGTGGCCCACACCACTGACCTACCCTTGCTATAACTTATACCAAAGATTAAACAAAACAAAACAAAAAACCAAAAAAGCCCAACCAACAAACAAAAACAAACAAACAAACAAACCCAAAAAACAAAAACAAACCAGCAAAATCTTCACTTTTAAAAATGGTTGTTAAGTGACAAAGATACATTAGTATCATGTCTCATTTTTAAAGGTAAAAGGTGAAATAGCCTCAAGAAGAAAAAAAAGAAAAAAAATCCCTAATTGACATCAAATACCTGATTACCATACTAAGAGAAGGAGATAAACCATGTCCTTATGTGGTTCACCTTAAACAGGAGGCAATAAATGTCTGCTGTACCTGGGTAAGAAACCCAGCCCGTCTGTGTGGCCAAAGAAGTTCCTTCTGACAGCAAGTTTAGTCAGCAAGCAAATTGCAGGTTATACATCTTGATTACTACAGTGTTTACTATATCTGAAGGATCAGACTTGTAGCTGTAGCATTAATTTGCTTTTCATAAACTCAGTGCTTAGCATGTAAACTTCTCATATGGAAGTTGATACGGTATTTTTGCATTTAAAAATTATATTCCAAGGAGTAGCCCTTTCACTATACACAACTCTTGAGGCATTCAAATGGAGCTGCCATTTGGGAGGTAGGACTGCTGATAGACAGAGGCAGCTTGAAAAATCTGAATTTTCCACTGGTGCCAATGGTCTTGAAGCCCGGGCAGCCAGTTGAACTCCCAGCTTTACCTCAGAAGGAAGCAGAGTGGTTTTCCTGAGCTGTGATATTTCCTGCCTTGAACTCATGAAACTGAAGCCCAGTCCTCCATCTTTTGAGACACACACAACATTTCAAGATTTTGCAGATTTTTCTATGTGGCTCTGAGTGCTGGCCACTCTAAACTGCAGTGGCTAAAGGTGACATGCTTCAGACATGTGGCAAATGGCTATGAAAAGATCCATTTCAATCATCCAAGGGAAAAAAAAATGGATACATACTCTGATACAGCAAAATGTCAGCTAGTTGATAGCCAAACCTAGGAGGACAAATTACAGTTTAAGATTCATTCCAAACATTTTAAGGACACTTAAAATGTAAGGCAAATACAATAAATAAGAAGAGCTTTAAGTACATCATTAGTAAATACACTGATATAAGGCTTCAGAAAGTGTGAATTTTGGTTATTGAAATGTTAGGACATTTTGAATATAGTAATTAAAATAAAGTGGACAAGAAATAGAGTCTTTCTCATTCTAGGAATACTTTACATATGAGAAGTTTAACAAACATGCTTATCCCTTCCTCTGTTCTTAAGTCTCTATTTAGCACTCTACTAATGCAGATTAGAATTAGTACCAAATAGTCCTGACACACCAGACATACGATGTAGCTTCAGTTAGGATGTACCTAATGGATATTGGTACAGTTTAGCACTCTAGTTAAAGTTCTGAGAATAGTGCAAATTCAACATCATGAAAACAAAACATTAAGAAAACTTTGATGGTATTGAAATGGCATTTTTTTAAAAATCACCATATAAATGAGTCTTTAAAAAGTATATATCTGAGTTTTGAGCTTTCTGCATCTCAATACATAAGATCCATTGGTAAAACTATTTCTTAACATTTAACTTATTTTTTGTCAACTCATGTGTTTTTTGTGATTAAACTATATCCATTGCAAGTCACTTTTATTAAACTAGCTTTTTTGAGGACTTTTGCAATTTCTGGCATCTCTTTCTTAGCAATCAAGCATACTGACTCTGCCAAATCAAGAAAAGCTTCCTCTGACAGAGCTCTGTTTTGGCAGTGACAGAAGAGCGGTCCAACTCTTCTGTCTCTCCAGCTTCTTCCCACCTTCATAGAATTCTTTCTTCTGTTATGAACGAATATTATGATTTTTCTTACCTTGGCTCTGTCAAGGAAAGGAAGAAAAGTGACCTGTCTTAAAGAACTACACTGACCAATGCCCAGTAACTTCTACTTACTGTAGACTTAATGCTGAATTTTAAAGATCCTGTAAATTGACATATTATGCTTATAGCCAAGGAATAATCTAATTTCAAGTTTACTGATTGCTGATCATTCTTCTCTCGAGTCATTACAGTGCATGAAGTTATTTGATGTGAACTACAGACTCACTGACCATTCCAAAATAACATTTTTTCCAAGTGCAGGATGGTAACTCAGGGATGATTTGACAAACCCATTTAGAGAAACCATAAATGTTATAGTAGTAATTAAAAAAAAATCATTAAAATTCTAAATTTACATCTTCATTACTGTGTTTATATGGCGTTGCTTAAAAACTAAAACCAAATGGTAAACCACAAGGCATCTGCTAAACATTCACTCCACCACAAGTGCAGCTACAGGTGATATGGGACTGGGATTGATGTTTCTGTGCTGTCAGCTTCTGCTGTCGCCCAGAGGGTGATGAAAGACAGGAGGACCAGGGAATACATCAGAGTGGGAAGAAACTAAGCATGAAAATGTGTCATACTAAATGTGACATTCAGAAAGGCTAAGTTTAGACTGTGTTTGGAGGTGCTGCAGCCCAAGTGCCCACAGCTTTCCTGTGAGTAAAAACAAATGAGGAAAAATGAGGAACGATGCTTGTCACCAGCTTTCAGTATGATATGGAGTAGTGACATGCAATGGGCAGTTGTACCACCATATGGGACACAGCCATAGCCAAAGAGCAGTGACTGTGATGCACCTCACGCAGTCTAGACCATGCAAGGAATCTTTAAGTTTTACCTTACCACCTGAATGGCCCTTTTATCTGACCTGCTTGCTGAGTTCTCAAAACTACAATCAAAGAGTTTGCAAAAAGGCCCTCCTTCAGTATGAGATGGACAGTGGTAATCTTCATGACCTGTATTCCCATAAGAACTGAACAGAACAGCCAGGCTGATGTGCTATAAAACCCTTTCAGCTGCAAGTTTTATAAGGGCAAACTATTCTTGTGCTTTCCAGCTAAGATGTGCTTCCTAATTATGATATAAGTTTTTTCACTTAGATCTTGCATGATAAGCATATTAAATTGCCATGATGGGCTACAATTTATCATGATTGCTAAAAATGGGATATTCAAATTGTGGTTGGTCATTAATCATGGTCAGTAGTATAACAAATAAATGGAGTGCAATGCATCTTGAAAATCTGTGAAGGATAATTAACTTGAATTGCCAGAAAAGTAGAACAGATGAATTTTTAGATACAAAAGCAAAATATAAACAAATACCATAAACCCTATGAAACACAATTCTGAAATATTTTCATTGCTGTTGGTGTTCCCTTGCCTTTGCCCAGAACATTTACAGATACATTATTGAAAACTCTCCCAAAAAGAAGAATACCAACTACTGTATCTAAGACGAGGCATGCAGGAATTTCTACTTAAACGCTTTGTGCAAATGTTACTGATAGTTTGTTTTCTCTTCTGTAAAATTGAAATAAAAGTATATGGTGTGTTCTGTGGTTTAGTACTTATCGATGTACTTTAACATTTTCCATTGAAAGACTGCAGTAGGTTGGGCATGAAGACAGTGAACCTCTAGGCTGGCAAAGTAGGTAAATGAGGATGTTAGAACTTCCTTAACATTTAACTACACTATCAAGTGAGTGAAAAATGTTCCCATAATACCAGGGAAACTCATGGGGTTGAGAATTATGGGAAGGTTTCCTTGAAAAATTCAAGTTGTGTATATATATATATATGTGTGTGTGTGTGTATATATTTTATATATATATGTATATATATAATATGTATAATTCTCTACTGTGCCAGTTTTTAAAAAGAATACTCTCAATAACATGACAAGCATTCATATTTTGAAAACTATCATTAACTTTCGAACAGTTACTGAAGTTTTGTTCAAAAGGAAAGGTTAACTGGTGATGACTATTGTTTTGAACCAAAAGAAAAATAAAAGTTTTGATATAGAACAAGGTTTTGTAGTATTTCTTTCTGATACACAAAAATTCTCATTGCTAACTGAAAGTAAGCATAGGTGGTACCCTAAAAATACAAGACAATGGGGGTACTATATAAAAAAACCACAAACCAACAACCCAGTGTTTGTGACTGGTTGCAGATTATGCTTTTTTGACCAATTTAAGTGAATGCAGCTACTCTGGGAAGCTGATGTCTTGGTTTAAAGACATAACTTAATGCCTGAAAGTACAGTTTCCTACAAAGGAAGCCTGTTCAATTGTCTGTTTCTTTAAGAAGAGAAATTGCTCCAGACTTCTGT